GTGGGGGAACTTGCACAATCGGTGGCTGACTAAATACTTTTTTGCCCCACTGTACGAAGTCAGGCCTTTGCAGTAGCTGTTCATTAACTACAGAGGAAATTGCCCCTACATATGAGGCCCCCTCCATCATAAGACCCTACTAAAACCTGACTGAACACCCATTTTTGAAAAATTCTGATTACTTTTTATCTATGTTACTTTTTTTTTTTAATGTGTGGTACTGTTTTATTCTTTTGGCTGCAAATCAGACTATGTAAATTCTGTGCATCTTTTCAGTTGTTCAGTGTGTAGTCCATACTTTAAGTCATCTACTCACCAGCCCCTGGTATCTAAAGGAGTCGTACACGCTCCGGATGAAGAGCCAGAATGGCCAGAGGTACTCAAACCTGAACTCAAGTACAAAATCTGCCAGTAGCACCAGTGCCCAGACCACCAGGAACTTCAGGTACAGGAAGGTACTAGAAATACATTTACAAACAAAAACAAAAAACCCTGAATGACAGAAAACTGTTTTCCAACACAAACACACAAGAAAATTTAAGAGTCTAGACTGGTAATGACATTTGTTGCAGCGTAGATTTTCTCAAGCAAGTATTTCCATAAATGCACAAAAAGCAATTATGAGTTTATAGTTATTAGTTCACATCAGATGCACTCAATAATAGTGAGAATAAAAACTGTGAGGAGGTACAACTGCTCACTTTCTTGTTTGAAGAAAAACCACCAGAAGCACAAAAAAAAAGCCTGACTAAAGCTTCCTATCTCATGGCTTCAGCTGGACAACAGTGCCAAGCAATTTCAAAGAGGCACTTGGAAACCAAATCTCTCTTCTGCCTGCTGTGACAGAGCAAAGAACCTGAACCCCAGGCAGCAAGAACATGTGTTTGATTGTGGGAAAATATAGCCAAAAAAAAAAAACCTTGATAGTGCCTACATGTGAAAATATAGTACTGAGCAAAAGTCTAGAGCCATCCCTTCCTTATTTATATTTTGCTAGGAAATGGGAAAGAAGTGTAGCAATTTATTCTTCAACACAGCCTGGACGCTCTTCAAGAAATCCCTACAATTTCTTAAAGCAGCCCTCAGGAATAGTTTTCCAGGCTTCCTGGAGGAAAATCAAAGCTCTTCTCTGGATGTTGGCTCCCTTGTGTTCTGTTGTCTCTCATAAGACAATCCCACCATGCTTCAATCATGTGGAGGTCCAGGTTCTGGCGAAGCCAATCCATGACTGCCCTGGTACACTTTTACTGGATGGGCAGTCTGTCAGGGATAACTGTCATCCTGAGAAATGAAGCTGTTGCCACTGATCTTAAGTACAGTTCTAGTGTAATTTGGCATATCTCAGCCTTTTTGCCCCATTTCTCTTCCTTAAGAATGGCTTCTTGGCAGCCACCCTTCCACTGACAGCATTTCTGACGAGGCTTCAGCCAACATTAAACGATCAACTGAAGGACCAGATGCAGCTCTTGGGACTGCATCTGGTCTGCATCTCATGCTTCTTTACAATTTAATTTTTCTTTTTGCCAGTTGTCTGTAGACACAACACTGGTTCAGTTAGGTAACTATTTTTTTCTTGAAGGATTCATAGGTCAAGATTGGAAGGCATTCCTCTGAACATGGTCAAGTAGAAGGACTGGACTGAAAACGTGGGGGAAAAAAAAAAAAAAAAATAGCCAAAGTGCAAAATGTTTTTAAACTAACTTCAGAAAGCCTGGAGAACTATTACAAGTACATCTGGCTCCTTGGACGCAAAAAAACATGAGTGGCTCAAGACTTTTGTTTTGCCTTGGGCACAAGAAGTTGGAAGACGAGTTCTCTGCTGACAAAGACTGTAGGAGAATGAAGTAAGATGTGTACCTGGAGCTGAAGATTTGGATATGACATCGGTGCCACACTGCTGCAGGGATATAAACACTGCTCTAACCTCTTGCTGCTTTTATCCTGCATTTGCTAGAGACCCAGAAAGTGGCCCACTGGGGGTGCTCTGATGTCGGGGGGAGGCACCTGTTCAATAATTCAAACATTGCCCCACATTTCCAGGTCCTCATGCCACGTGTGTAAACTAAATGGCCTTTAACGTTAATATGTATGAAGCCACACACAGCTGGAGACTGGAAGCACAGCCAAGCCACTGAGAGCTGTTAAAAGCGAGTGACAGCAGCCTTATCGACACGTTTGTGGTTAATGTTACACCACTGTCGTTGAGGCTCATGTGATGATGTTGGCAATAATAAGCTGGTGGACCTGCTAACAGCGAAGCAGCTAACTTTGGCACCTTCAGCCAGTGACAGCTGACTCTGGCGCACAGTTAACACCCGGGATTCTTTAGTTATCATGAAAAAGTCAGCTGCAGTGTAATTCAATTAGTAACTGTGCTATGGAGCCGGAGTCAAAGCTCAAAACAGGCTGTTTTGGGGCCTAGCGCTATAGTTAGCTTACATGCTAGTGTAGCATATAACGAAAACACACTAGAGCTAGCTGCCTGGCTAGGTTAACAGGCTGTCAAGAAGTGGCAGCAGCTGTGAGGTTAGGGAGGCGTATTAACGCAAACAACCCATTCATTTCCCTTCGTTGAGCAGGCTCCGTGTAAGTTACCTGCCGTATATCCCCTCGGTGATTCGGTTCCGTTTTAACGGCCGTCGGAGTTTGCTGCAGTCCGCATTGCGCCGCTTCATCCTCCTCCACTTGGCTTTGGCCTTCGAGTACGCGCCGTAATCTTATCCAGTTTTCTTGCGTGTGCGGACAGAGATAATAAATAAAGGTGCTTGTGATATATATCGCTGTTGTTATTATTTTTTCCCCCACTTGAAACAAAGAAATAAATAAATGACTATTCGGGGAACCTCCTCTTTTCTGTTAGCGCAGGCTCAATAAGCCCAGAGCGCGTTGTGTTTTACCTAGTGTGGCTGTCAGACGGCCGGTGCGACCAATCACCGTTTCCGTCAAGGACTCCTTTTTTGACAGACACACAGAAGAGCCAATCACTGCCCTCAGTGGCTGCTCACTGAGCGCTCATCACCGTTTGTGGAGCGTCTTGGCGTTCAACCAATCAGATTGTTGTGAACAAATTGGGCATCCCCGATCGGCCAATTAACTGACAGCGGGGGCGGGTATTTCCCTTATATGTTTCTGCCTTTGGTTTATTATGAGGACTCAAATATGCTGTATTCGGGACAAAATTCCCTTTGTGCTTGATACAAAAACATCCAGTCCGACATGGGGGGCGGCGGGGTATTTATATCACGGCCTTTGTGTGTGTTTCGCTGACTGACTTGCCCCAAGGAGATGAATGCCATTTATGCTTTGTTACCAGGTTGAAATAGTGTGCATGCGTGTGCGGCAAAAAATGAGGGCCGCAGTTGTCTCTGCTTAAAAAGTGAATTATTTGTGCCTTTTAAAATTATTATTATCTATAGGGATATAATAAAGCTTCATCATGCTCACTTCCTTATGTTTCAAAATATTCCCTCAAATACCCCAAATATTTCACTTATCCCCACAAACAGTTAGAATTTTTTTTTATTTGATTCAAATCTATTAGTACAGCTCACGCTGTCTTGCCAAGACGCTTTCATGCGCAGCAGCTGATAAAGAGGAGAAGCTGCGTGCTGTGGGGTTGCGCCCGTTTGTCTGAGCATCAGTGTGAAGAGAAGTTGTGCAGCAAACATCTTCAATGCCTCCTCAGTACGCACCAAGCCTGCGCTCTCGTCTGGCACCCTTGCTGCTTTTCCTGCAGACTGGGTTTATCATCATATTTGCTTTTTACACTGAAATCGAAAGAAATGGAAACGCTGATGACTTCAGCAAACGTTACCCAGGTGAGTTTTATTTTTGTGAGCTTGGAAGGGGGGTGTTGAGGTCAGATGAGGTTAAAGATGTTCGTGTTTACTTTGATTAGCTAATTCATGAAGCAACTATCTTTTAAACTAACTTCATGTACATGCTTTAGTGTGCGAAATAAACACACTTCAGTCCAAGAGTGTGGGGAGGAGCTGCCGTTTGTTGGTCATTGATAAGCCCGTGAGTAAATGTGTTGTGTCCTCAGCTAAAATTCAGCTGTAACTGTTTATTTTTGTGCCTTCTCTTCTTCTTTTTCAGAGTTCCAGGATGTGAATGTGATAGTGATTCTAGGCTTTGGCTTTTTGGGCACTTTTCTAGTGCGCCATGGTTTCAGTGGCTCCGGGTTCAACCTCCTTGTGGCTGCCATGGCCACCCAGTGGGCCCTCATACTGAACGGTGTGGAGTCCTTGTACTACAGGGGAAGGCTCAGGATAGATCTGAAAAGGTGGGAGGAGACGGTTGGTGCAGATAATTTCCTCTAAAGGAGCTTATATAAATCAATTTAACTGGAACTTGTTTGCTGTAGCTTGATAGTTGCTGAGATGTGCACTGCCTCAGCCCTCATTTCAATTGGAGCTGTGCTGGGGAAGACCAACCCAGTCCACCTCATCCTTATTGGACTGCTCGAGGTGTCAGGGTTCATCCTAAACAAATGGCTTCTGCAGTTTCTCCTGAACGTAAGCCCACGTTTCACCCTCATATCATATCTTTAGATAAAGTGTATTCACATCGATATGCCGCTGCTAATGTTTTTCTGGTCCTTCTAGACCCGTCCTCTGATCAGCATCATGATGCTTCACATCTTTGGGTCCTTGTTTGGACTCATGCTGACAGCGACACTTTACCGTAAAGGCTCAGAGCAGCGATTTGAAAAGGAGAAATTTGACACAAAGATGGGATTGTTTTCCATGTTAGGTAACAGCTTTCCCAGATATCTGCTGCATCATTTGGCTAATTTCCACTCTAGTGAATCTGTGTACAGCTGAATCTGTCTCTCCTCTCCAGGGACTGTTGTCCTCTGGATGTTTTGGCCCAGTTTTAACTCTGTCCTCGTGGATGATCGGACTCCTGGGAGGAAGCTGGAAGCCGTGTGCAGCACCTACCTGGCCCTGGCCGTTAGTGCTGTGACAGCAGCTGCGATGTCTGTGCTCTCCAACCCCAAGGGAAAACTACACCTGGTATGACCTGACACTTGATATGTTTGCACATTATTATGAGACTTTATGTGCAATGTCAACATAAGGTGTCCAGCATAAAACTTCCCCTCTGTGCCAGTAGACAGACTTTTACTGGCCCACAAAAAGTCAGTTTGAATACAGCTAACTGTTTTTGCTCATTTTGCTTTAAAACTAAAGCTAAAATAAATGCAGTGGACCAAATGCTGTGCTGCTCTTTAGACTAATCCCTGCTACCTGCAGGCATCTCTGTTAGAAAGAGAGACATATGGTAGCAGCTGCTGGCTTAAAGCAACATTAAAGTCAAGATCTATCAGTTTATCTGCTTTCATTTGAGCTTTTTTCATTTCTACTCTCTCTGAACAGCTGAAAACACTGCTTTTCTTCCCATTTAAACTGTCCCCACAGGAAGGGCTTTTATTAATATTTTAATGGGAAAATGCCCTCATCTGCCACTTTATTAGATACACCTTGCTAGTGTCAGGTTGGACCACATTTTCCTTTATAAGCTGTCTTAATTCTTTGTGGCACAGATTCATCAAGGTGCAGGAAACATTCTTCAGAGATATTTTTTGGAGACCATTTGAGTTCAGTGAACTCATCGCCATGCTCAAGAAACCAGTTTTAGATGTGCAAGTTGTGATCATAAAGGGATGGACATGGTCAGCAACAACACTCAGGCAGGCTGTGGCATTTAAAAGATTCTTAGTTGGCACTGAGGGGCTCTGAACAGCTTGTGTGGACTGTAGTCTCAGTCTCCTGGCACCTGGTGTGATCTTCTGCTGCTGGTAAAACCATCTGCTTCAAGGTTCCACGTGTTATGCATTCAGAGACGCTCTTGTGCACACCTGTGTTGTAACGAGTGATATTTGAGTTACTGTACTGCCTTTCAAAGCATTTTCAGCCAGTGGGAATCCCCTTTCTTTTTGACCATGCCTGCATGTTTGAATGCACTAAACTACTGCCATGTGATTAGCTGATTATATATTTGCATTACTGAGCAGATGAACAGGCGTACCTAATAAAGTGACTGATGTAGAACATTATTTTTGTCAGTATTTTATTTAAAAAATGAGGACTGCAATTATCAACACCTAAATACGCTTTAAAGCCATAAGTGGTTTTTGATGTTCTGGCTGTGTTAACACAGAAACCTAATATATGACAAAAATTAAGTTTATGTTATTCACAAACTTTTGGTGGACTTATTAAAAAATTGGGGTTAATTTAAACACATTTTGGTGTTTATTAAAATTTGCAGTGCAAGCTCAGCTTCGTCACCATGTGAAGCACCTAAAAGTCTGATTTTCTTTCAGATCCACCTGCAGTCCTGCATCCTCGCTGGTGGCGTCGCTGTCGGCGTCTCCATGTCAGCAGTTCGTCATCCTTGGGAAGCCATGATAATCGGCTTTGCTGCTGCCATAATATCATCCATTGGATTCCAGTATCTTAAGGTTTTCCTCACCCCCTCCTAGACGTGGACATTTGCCTCAAGCTTGCACAGTCTGTATGATAAAACTCAGCTGTTAACTTATTTCGCAGATCCACATGCTGCTGGCATTTCAGTGCCATGACACATGCGCTATCTTAAGCAGTCATGCACTTCCTGGTCTACTGGGATGGATAGCGCATCTTGTCCTGCAGATCAAAGACTCAGATGATCACACAGTGTAAGAATGAAACGGTCCCGTGATGTTGGACTGCAACACGTAAAAGAAGGAATACCCTGCTTAATTATTTGTTTTTCTTTCCTTCTTCTTCTGACAGAGCGATCCGGTTTGCTGTATTTCACATCTGTAGTCTCCTCATCACCATCGCTCTGAGTGTGACGCTGGGAATCCTTACAGGTATGCCTTAACCTCTATTCCAGCAGCAGGTACAGTCAGTGCGCAGTCTTCTTTATAAGTTTCATCTCCTTGTTTGAAGGGCTCCTTATCAGGTTGAAGTTTTGGAGACCACCCCAGTACAAGAATTGCTTTGATGATCAAGCCTTCTGGGAGGTATGCAGTAGTCTTCTTTAATGCTTCCCTTTCAATAATTAAAGTCTGAAGATATTTCTGACATATTTTCCACCATGCTGAACTTTAAAACCTTCACAAAACCTTAAACAGACAAAATGTTTTCATGTTTTTGCAGTTTTCTCATCTGGCTGTGCGCAAATAAGAAGACGAAGACCCCTGTATATAATTTCACACTCTCTCCTGACTTTTATAAAATAATGTAGTGGGATATATTTTTTTGTGTGAGGGAGGAAAAAAAAAAGGAGGATAAAAATCGGGAGTGAGGAGTGTCAGACTGATTTACTGCTCAGTATGTTTTTATTGCTGCCATGGCTGTGAAACACTACCCTGATGCTCTGGGTGTTACACAAGCTGAATGGACAGATGTTGCATTCAAATACAAAGTCGCAGCACTGAGAGGACACCCTACAGATGTGAAACCTCTGTCTGCCAGAGGCTAACTGAAACTCAATAAATCTGGATTGCTGCAAACTTTCAGAGCTGATATAGTGTTATTCCTGGAAAATTACAAACAACCCCACATGGTTACATTCAATGAAACATGTATGTGTACACATCTACGAAAAATCCGTCAGTTAATATTTTGTACCATAACCACTTATGGAATGTGCGCTTGGCAGGCAGGCCAAATTAGGGGATGCCATAAAACAAAGGAGATGGAGACAGTTTAGTGTCTTGAAGCTCCCAAAATACACAATTTTGTTTATGCATAAGTAAACCATTTTAACAACATGGCTACAGAGTCCGATTGCAAATAGACACGCCACATTTGAAAATATTCAAACTTTAAAGAAATCTATGAAGATTTGTGCTTAACTATGATTTAGCTTTTATACAGCAAACCAGATAAATTAAACATGTTAATCTGAAGGCTAAAAAAAAAAAAAGGAAATAGTTTATATATAAAGTGAATACCCACTGAAGCATACAGTCTCATACAGTATAGAAAGCAGAGTGTATAACTGTGGACATGAAGAGACACGCAGAGTTCATTACTGCCAGAGATCCTCTGTACGACCAAACTTGAACACCAAACCCCTGAAGAGGAAAACGATAAGATGAGTGAAATGTTTTCATTGTCCTGAAACGGACGAGAGAAAGAGGACTCAACAACTCACCCGAAGAAAATGAACGCATTTTGGAAGAAAACAGCAATTCCAGGGTACACAGTGGGCTTCTCTGCAAAAGACGCAACAGGTTTACGGCGTCAGTTACAGCATCACGCCGTCACAGCTTTGATCCAAGAGTTCCTTACTGCAGCAAACATCCCTCTAAACAGCCTCATTTTCACCCAGCAAACACTGACGCGTGAACGTTATCTGCCTATCCTAACACAGGTTGCACCGCAGACGACGCTGATTCACTCAGACCATCTCTTACCAAGCGACAAGTGTTATTCAAATTATCACATTAAAGAACGCATGCCTTTCTCTTTTTAAATACACACTTCATAGCTGGGTTATGAAACGGCTGCGTGCAGACAACTAAACATCGATGAGTCCAGGCACGCGGACTGTATAACTGTGTAATATGACCACAGTTATGCTGTTTATAAATACAATTAGATCTTTTTAGACAGGGACACTTTTCTTTATAGCTTTGCCTCTGCACGTCACTACGTGGAAATATGGCTCCAACTGGAAATACAAATTATTTCCATTATATTCATTCATATTATAACCGAGGTGCCAAAGTTTCTACAGTTAAAAACACAGCTGAACACTTGGGCCAAGTAGAAAAGTGCTAAGCAGATAAAGTGGACTCACGGGGCACTACAAATCCTCCAAAGAGAATCCACATGGAGGCGATGAGGGAGCCAAAAGCCAGCATGAAGCCGATAAAGAGCCACACTCGAGCACCTGCAAGTAAAAGATAAGAAAGGGCGGGACACTGAGTGACGTGGTGTCGAGCTTCGTTTACCACGTTGCGTTTTACTGCATGCGCAGATACACGCCACAAGAACAGTAGAAAGCATATCTGAGACATTAAATAAATAATTGCTAAATGAAAATAGACAACCTGTCGTCATCACAGCAGACACACACCTGTCTGTCCCATGCAGCCTTCGCTGTAGCTGTCTCCTCTCACTTGGCCATTTGAAACAGCATTTATCCTAAAAGGGAAAAAAGCAGAATGCAGAATCTTCAGATGTTACAACCCGAAAAAAGTAACATTAACTAATAACTGTTGGAGCAGAAAAGTTATTTATAAACCCTATCCAGGCCAGTTTACTCTGTAAGTGTTGTATAAATGTGTTTATTACATGCAAACCAAAAATTCCTTCATCCACCAGCGCTAAAATCCTCCATGGTTCTCAGAGTGTCACACATGGGTACTGTCAAGTCCTGTCTTAAAGCCTTAAGATGAGGCTGCTTTCTGACTTGATTAGGGTCAAAGTCTGGCTTTTTACAAAAAAATAACAACTCTACAGCTGAACTGTATGCATCGGACTCAAGGTTACAGCACTGTGTGCACAGAGATTTCACTATGATTAACAAAGTGTTGAAAAAGAATCAACATAAACCCACTAAATGTTTGAAATCTTTCTGAGGACACGTTTCACAAGGAGTACTCACAGGACTCTAAATACACCCCAAACTGATTAAACCTGTACAGGTGCTAGTGGGTAAGAGTCCTTTTTAAACTCTTCCTTGACTTAATGCATCAGTAACATGGACATGTATGGTATGGAGTGTATAAAGTTATGAAACTGCACAGAGGAGTGGTGGAAATACATCTTGCAGGGAAAAAAGGCATTAAACCTTATTTTGGGACAAAATTACTCAATACTTGAAGCATTTATATTTGCTTAAACTTGAAACATATGTCCTTTTGTGTGTTTTGTGAAAGCAAGTTAGCAAAAACAGAGAAGCTGAAAAGAGAGTAAGGAATTATTGTGACGACAATCCAAGGTCAGAGAGAAAAAGAGTACAGAGCTGTGTTTCAACATGAAGTTGAGTCTTCTTTTGTAAGGTTTATAACAAAGAGAGACAGGATGCTGGAAAAAGCATGAAATAAATTGGATGATGTAACAAAGAAACTCTTTCACGGGATCGAGGAATAGGGAAGATTAGACCTCCAGGCAAGGGGTGACTCCAGAAGCGTATATACAAGAGAATACAGCACAGCTACCACCATATGCCAGAGAAAAGGATGGAAATGGTTTATAAATACATACAAATGTGGCTGTGCTGAAGAGAATTTAGCCTGAAAGCAGTGTTAAGACTAGCAGTCATAAAGAAATAAGCAAGAGTGATTATTTTGATGAGAGTACAACCTTGAGTTACAGAAAAAGTAATATTTAGGAACAGGATGCAAACACGGCACTACCAGCGGCATGTGTAGACACAGGTTACACACAGTAAAGCTCCAGGGGGGCAGGAGAGAAGTTTTGTCATTAATCCATTAGTGATGACCTCGGACATGAGGAGGAGGGAAAACAGCACGTCCGAGGAGCTTATAACAGGTTATGGAAGAAACTCCTGGGACATTAAGGAACCATGGCCGAAAACACAACAAGCACAGTCCGAAAAGGACCGTTCAGAGGGGGCAGCAGGTGCATGCAGTGTGGAACAGATGCTCATAGTGCAAAGTATCACTGAAGTGTCACTTCAGCCTTACAGTGCACATTGTGCCACAAAGATAAACTCCAACACCACAGTGCGCGGGGGATCTTCTTGCGTATGTGTAACCCCTATAGACATGGTTACTAGTATTTTCTTGTTTTTACCTGGTATTATTATTTCCGACACCCCTTGAACACACTTTGATTTTCTGTAGTTCAGTGAATGCAACAAAAGCACGTTGCTGCATTAAGCTAGGCAAAACGGAGCAAGACACCGAGAGCAATTAACAAGCTACAC